GTGTTTTAGCCTCGCCTATCGGCTTACAGAGACCTCCTTATGCTTTGCGTGTGACCTTTCGGAATGGTATACGTTGAAACCTTTGTGTAAGATATACGCATCTTTTTCGAACTGTTAGAAAATAATATTAAAGTGCCCATAACCACAATTAGATAAATAGGCGAATTAGGAACTATGGGGCAGCTGCAGGAGGTGATTTTGAAGTGCGTGAGATGCCAACTGGTATAATTTTCACAGCAAATGCAATAAAGCGCTTAGCAAACGATATGACAGTTCGACAGTTTCCACCGTGTGCGTACAAGCAGGGGCGGTGACTTGCGCGTCAACTAGTTTTAAGTGATAGTATACTTGCGTTGCACCTACCGTACCCTTCCTCAAACGCCCATGCCCGATGTCAAAACAGAGTAGAGGAAACCGGAGACGGGGTGGGGTGCATGGCAAAATCCACACCCAAGCCTACCATTACGTTCGCTCAGAAGCAACAAAAGTGACCAGGATTTGAACACAATAACATGAAGATAGGGGAACCGGCACAATTCACAGCTCACATAGCCGGTGCCTTCTTGTCATTACACTCACCATACACCGTCTGGTTACAGTCTACACTTGGCCAGAACTTTGTAAAAGGGACGATATACTATGACCACGACAGCCCACTAAAAATGCAGCTTATAAATATGTAACTGAACCGATGAAACCTTTTGCGCGAGCAGTAACTTTCATTAAAACTTACCTTCGAACACGATATTGTTGCACCTTCCGGGAACAACCGTAGTGGCGTTCCTGTCGTAAACGTATAAATACTGACTGACTCAAACATGAAGTCCGAAAACCATCGTGAGCTGTGTAGTGGAAGAAAAGCTGTAGTCCAAAGGCCAGTATTAGTACTAGAACGCGCCTGCATAAAAAAAAACTATTGTCGGTTTGTATGTAGCTTAACAAAAAGCAAATTTACATCTTACCAAATACGTTGGAGCAGAAGGACTGGGCTCAAGGACCGAAATGAAAAAGGTACGAAAATAGAAACCTCCACCCCTCTAATTAGCCAGTTTCTTCGAGGCCAAAAAAACAAATAATCATGAATTTAAACTAATGCAAAAGGAAGAAGCACGTCTATCTGTAAGAAAAAAATAGTAAAACGGCGGTAAAGACTAAGCACCTGGCAGATTAACGACAACTGCGCCCCATCCTAACATCCGCCATGCCGAAAGGCTTGCTTCGAGCCTAACACTGCTTGCAGAACATGCTTGTTAAAACGGAACTATTCAAAAGAAGTAAAATTTGAATTTGAACCAAAATTCTTTGGTTCTACAAAAAATAACTTGGGAGCTCTAAAATGGCGGTAAATGGCTGGTGATGAAATTAAAAATGGGAGAAATTTGTGGAAAATAAAACAATAAGCAAACAAAAAAAGACGGCCGAGAAAGCAACCGGTGAGATGAATGGTCTGGAGTGGATCCTAAAGTACTTACGCGAGAGCCCCGTGTACGAAAACATGCCTCGTTGCTTAATGATATTTTCCCAGTTTCCAGGAGTACCCATGGCAGTAAGTTTGTCATAGAAGAGCTGCCGTGTGCGAATTATGCGATCAGACATTTCCCGTAGATTCGATTTCCTTTGAGGGTGGGGGAAGGAGTTGCAAAAGGTTCGACATAATTTGTCCATAAACATCACGAAGAGCGAGGAAAAACAATATTTTAAGTTAATCAGAGTGCAACTTTGAACTATTTAGGTTTTGTAACACGCAGCCGTCTGCATAGTATTGAACACTCGTGAAAGGATGAAAAAAAGTGTGATGCAGTAGAGGATGACAGACGTGTCGGGCGCTAAATAAAATGTACCGAAAATCCATATCCCTAACAATAACAGGTACACACAGTGAACTTGGAGAGGTGTTCTTAGTTCCGTTCTAAGGCTAATAAAGGTGAAAAATGGGGACCATGGAATAGTTAGATCGAGAAGTTTGCAGAAGAGACGAAGAACCTCATCCAAAGGGCATGAAGAGAAGGTGTTGAAGGGCGAGGGGACTATTAACTAAGACCCACTGAATTTGGGCTGTACCTAATAGCATTTTAAAAACTCAAATAATACGAAGTCTGTGGAAGAATCATTCTGGCGAAATCTGCCAGCAGGATACTAAGCAACCATAACCATATATTTCAGGGGTTTGTGTTTAGAATACTTTTATCGTTTAAAAATGTGCGGAGCAGAATTAAGCTTACGAGATCTACAAATATCGGCTATGAATTCGTGCACGAAAGTTGTGAAACACTCGATTCATTCGCACGTACAAAGTTACATTTCAGGCCTCCTACCGAATAAAATAGTATCTTGAATATCCACAGTAAGAAAAAGAATTAAGGGTTTACATAATTTATCGTAAATGATTTTAGCTCTTTTACACCAGCCACGACAACAAACAGGGAAACAGTAGATTTGTCAGTTTATTAATTCAGTAAGACAGAGAGTAAGATTTATCAGTGTGACTCACTTCATACTTTACAAAACAGAACGAGGATGAGCAACTATTTCACGAAAAAGAAACTAAATAATGTTTTGGGGAGAAGTTTATTTATCGAACTAAACGTACCACTCAACGTATAACTGCGGATCGTTCAGAACATTCGAAACAATGGTGGCTCCGTGATTTGGCGGATTGGACCAGCAGTAACGTGCAAGGATTAAAAGTTGTGACTTTGTGTTTGCAGTGAGCTCTTTGTTTTTAGTTGCAAACACAAGATTTCCTACACGATCGTCTATAAATGAAAAAATCACAGTAGAGGAACAGGACGCAGGAAAAATTAGAAAAGTAGCTCTAGATATTAACATCGGCAAATAGAACTCCATCAGAAATTAAATATAGGTAACTGCCAAGCAGCTAATTTCTACTTGCGCATATAACAAAGTATTCAAAAATGTTCGATAACACCTGAAAAAATAGTTGGATAAAACGTTTCAAGAGAACGGTTCCGCACTAAGAGATTTAAAACAGATTAGAATCTAGATGAGTTGGATTTCGTTAGAACGCAAAACACCGAAATAAAAGTCCCGTAATTTGATAAGAGCAACAGCAAATTTGGAAAAATTTTTATATTTAAATAGAAAATCTAAACGTGTGTATGAATTCTGTTGAGAAGGAATAATGAAAAGGGTACTTTATGGGCGTTTGACAGAAAAAAATGCTGGTCAATATAGCAAACACATCGCTGGGAGACGATGCGCAGAGTTGAAGGTAGCTGCGTACTTCCAAGTTATGAATTATTTCAATTTGCCTTTTTAGGTTAACGGAATGAGACTGAGCTATTTTGCAGTCGATGTTGAATAACATATCACAGGAAAAATGAAGAAAATATACTTTTTCGGGAACAGGAGCTTATATTTTAAATCAAGCAGAAGTAGAGGGAGAATACAGTACCGTCACTATTTGTAATTAACAATAGACAATGCAAGGTCAGAGAAACTAATCGAAAATAGCTGTAATGCTCAGTATGACTATGTCGATTACAAAGGTTCATCATATGTATTAGGATATAAACAGTTAGATTTCGTAATGATTGTATTACGCCGTGAACTTAACATATGAGAGTTTTATCTGCGGATATCAGGAATAATTATTCGATGAAAAATCTATTTGAAATCTCTAAAAAAATATTCCACGGAACATTCGTGGAACTGCAGACGAATCAAAAAGTATATGGAAACGCGAAAAGCGAGCTGAAATAAAGTATAGCTTGCGTTTGTAAAAGGTTTTATTGTAAACGTACTATAAAGGCCAAAGTTCTTCGAGAAGGATTGTGCTGCAAAAAATTCAAATCCATGTTCAAGAAACATTCTAATAGCCCACGCGTCCTCATCGGTATCTCCAGAAGCGAGTCCTTGGTATGCGATGTCGAAGAGTGGAAACAAACGTTTCTTCTGCAATTGATAAAGGATGAATTTTTTATGCATAGGGCTAAGAGTTTCATGGAAGTAATGGTAGCGTAATTGTTAGATAACAATTAAAAATAGGATAGAATTCTCCTAGTCGTTCACAACCAAATAAACAAGTCAGTCTAACAAGTGCATGGGAGAGGGGTGAAGTACAGTAAGAATTCATTTGCAATCGGTGTTGCTCAAAATATAAATTTTTGCTTGTCGTGTACATTTTACGATTTATTTTTGCCATTTTAACGTCCGTATTTTTGTCTCCGAAGCATTTCAGATCCCTAGTTTAGTTTTCGGTATCATTACGAACCATTATAAGAAGAATAGAAATATAACTAAACACACAGATTCTCATATAATTGTGGCACTTCTGAAACCTTGATATTTATAGCAACTTCTACTAATGACTGGGAACCAAATCAAAGATAAAGATACTAGATTAATGTCTCGTGTAAGACATCAAGAAACTGTAAAATTAACAAAATCTGAAATAACCCAGAGGTAAATGGTTCAAATGCATAAAATTTACAAAGAAGCGAAATAACCTTCATTATTTGCGCGATTTCTGTCCACTGCTCTGGAGCCAAGTCCATACCGGTTGGATTATGGGCACATGCGTGAAGAATTATCACACTGTTGTCTGGCGCTGATTTGATGTCCTCTAGAAGTCCATAAAAATCTAGACAGTGTCTTTCTTGATTCCAATATCTGTAGTGCATGATGGTGTAGCCAGCCTGTAAACATATTCCACGGTGGCTCGCTAAAAACTGTCGAAAATTATATTCACATACGCCAACTGGGTTTTGGAATAAGAACAGTTGAAAATTTTAGGATTTTCTTCAAAAACTGCGCAGCTAAATAGACCGCGCCGGATCCACCAACGCATTGAACTCCATCCACCTTACATCAAAGTCAGAAATTTCCCTTCTAGGTTAACCTACCAACTGTGAACTAATCGCCGGATTTTCAGAACCTAACAACAAACGAATACCAGCGGCACAAAAAGCTGGCAGTCCAGTAATGGGTAAGTAATCCTTATTAAGAGAAGGATCCTGTGCCATTTCGATTTCAACTTTACGCACGACCGGTATTTTGGTAGGTTTGCCATTAAAAGGCCGGTAAACTAAAAGTATAGAAAGATAATAGTAAGAGTTACCACCAAGAGTTAAATTCGCTTTATTCACAGCTGGGTCCTGTTGACATTGTTCGGACAGAGTCGTCACTTCAATAGGTGGTGCCTTTTGAACGTCACAAAACACAGAGTACATGTTTTCGCTCGGCTCGCTCATAATTGGAACACTGAAATGCGCACACGTTCGATAGTCCATTAAAACTCCATGGGAACACAAATTAAACATCGATAATAAGACTGTCGTTTTTCTATGGTTGATTGAATAAACCAAAGCGAGCTATTCGAAACTGTAATGAGGTTAGTCGAGGGATCATAATGGAAGCAATGGAAACAACTAGGTAGCCACAGGAGACCAGAGGAGATCACGAATACGTAGGAAACGGTTTGATTATATTAAAGTATTTTATCTGTTGAGAGAAATTTCTCAAGGAATTCCAACTAGTTGAAGATTTAAACGGTGAAAATTATTTAATAATTATCT